TCTGGGCCAGCCTGGTCTACATAGTGAGTTCCAGGACAGCTAGGGCTACAGGGGGACCCTGTCTCAAAAGGACCAAAAAAAAAAAAAAAAGATAAACATGCAGTTAATATACACCCTAGCAAAATCACTTCCAAGTAAATATTCAATAGAAATGAAACTCTACAATATGGTAGTAAAGGAAAGAAGACAGATATGAAAACTATATTCTATATCATTCTAGAAAAGGCACAGTGGCTTTTGGTAGAGGGACTGACGGCAAAGGACACAAGGAAATTCTTTAGGTTGCTGAAATATGATGACTGGATATACTCACCAAGACTGAAAGAACTTGAACACTGGAAAGTTTTGTATAAATGTGACTCCCCCCACCCCAACTGCAAGAAAGAAAAAGGAGTGGCAAAGTTAAAGGGAACAAATGAAGTCAAAACTAAGATGAGAACTTGGGGTAAATGTTAAAGACAGCTATCTTTCAAGGTGTGTTCTGAAAAAGAGAAATGTTAAATATGGCGAACAGTCCTATTTGTCAATTGCGCATGCATAGTGGTAAGCAAACCTACCAGAGTCAGAGTGGTTTTCCAGAGTGTCAACCACTACAGGAGTTGAACTGGGTACTGCTGAGGGCAGCTGACTGTGCTTAGGCTGGGTCTGAATGCTGACAGGTTCAGACTGGCTCCTTTCTGCTGACTGTTGTGACTTGATAAGAGAGATGTAGAACTCTTCCAGTTTGGGCAGTGTGGAAGAATCCAAATCTAAATCTGGCTGCTGAAAAATAAGAGAAATGGAGCAAAGGCATGAAAGTAACTGTTAGTGTGGCAAGAATCAAGCCTTTTATTTTTGTTTATCTTTTAGGGTTTTCTTTTTGTTGTTTTTTTTGTTTTGTTTTGTTTGTTTTTGAGACAAGGTCTCCCTGTAGCCCCAGTTGGCTCATAACTCACTATATCGACCAGGCTGGCCTTGATCTCACAGAGATCTTCCTGACTCTGCCTCCCAAGTGCTGGAAAGGGAAAGTTGTGCACCACCATACTCAGCTAAGAATAAAGTTTTTGTTTATTTATATCATAACTTAAAAGAAAAACTCTTAGAAAAGCAAATCCTTCTCTATTTTAATGGATATCAATTCAATCTAAGGAACTTTTATTGAACATATTGCGTATGAGCAAATATGGTACTAAGTGCTACCACACAGCTAAGGAGGAGCTGGACTCTACTTCCTACATGTCGTCACTGCTGAAATGCATCAACATATGGTATAACTTAAGATAAATGATGTTGACTGGCATTAATATGACTAATGTCAACATGACAACTCAAATTGCTGGTAGGACTACAGAAGCTTCTTAAAGTTATTATAAAAAGAAATGAAAAGGAGTTACTTTATAACAGGGACATTGCCCCTACTAGATACCATAGGTTAGCAAAGTAAAAGCCCAATGTCAAGAATGGACTCCCTTTTCTGAAGCTGTTGACAAGAGGTCCCAAAGACCCTCAAATAATACTAGCCATTGCCCCTGCTCTTGGTTACCCACCAGAACTTCACAGTAAGACCCTATTGCTGAAGATAGAACATTCATGAGCTGTAGAACAAACAAGGAGAAATCAAGCTGGTGCTGACTTCAAAGCTTCACCTCTATGGGCTAGCTTTCATAGTGATGAGAAGTGCTCTGCAAGCTACCTGAAGAGAAAATTTATCACCAACTTTACTCAGTTGTGAATCCTGCAAGCTACAACAACTGGCTTGGCAAGATATGCCCACAAGTGCAACAGTGGTATGAATATTATGGGAGTAACCAACCACTTTCTAATTGGATTTAAGGTTCACTTTATGTGATGGAGCCCATACCTGACATTATCATCTGGCCTAGGTACCTGAGGCCAGACAGCTGCTCACAGAGCATGGGAGAGAGCCTAACACTATTACTCAGCTAAACAGATACAGTATTAAACTGACTCCTAATGACTTATTGCTATTATATTAATGCATTTCTCAACTCTCAGCAAAAAGCTTTCTTATACAACAGATTAAACCATAAGTTGCCAATGTGCAGAGAATTAGAGGTTGCAGATTTCTTAACTCTAAATAGAATACTACACCAAACTCCTGCCTCCCAAGGCTCAGGGATCATTATGGAAGAGGGGTGGAAAGATTGTTAAGAGCCAGAGGTGATGCATGACCACAGGAAACAGAGTTTTCCAGATAGCTGGTCAGTTACTCATATGAACTCACAGCAATGATGATAGCATGTATAAGTCCCATGTAAGCTCAAGCCAGACAAAATCCCAGCATAGATAAGAGGAAGAGTGTAAGAAATCCCTACCTGAGGAACTATGGCAACTGATGGCTGCTGAGAAGAGGAGAGTTAATTTTGTTTAAGAGTAAGACTATTGGTTGGTTGTGAAGACTCCAGTAGATAAATCCACAATGAAGAGTAAATCGGGACACAAACCTCACTCTATAGGCCTTCATACACACACACACACACACACACACACACACACACGAAATTGAATATAAGTGGGGGGTAGTAAGGGGGTGCAGATGGGGAGGGGATCTAAATTTAATACTAATATATTGTATGTAATTTACAAAAATTTAATAAAAAAGAGGAAAAAAATTGCTAGAAGGAATGCAAAATGGTGCAGCCATTTTGGAAAACAGCCTGGCGGTTTCTCAAAATGTTAAACACAGAGTTATATGTTTATCAGGTTATACACCTAAGATAAATGAGACCCCTGGCAAAGAGCAAAAGCACAAGACAGCATGCTAAGAATTATGCTAAAAACTAGAAGGAAAAATATAGTGATATTACAAATGCTAAAGAAAGACCATGAAAAGTCAACCGTGTCAAATATAGCTGAAACGAGGTAAAATAACACCCACCCGCCAAATACAGGAATGGGAATAGACGGTGATTTGAAGAATATCCTCTGTGGTATTATTTACAATGGCATAAAATCCTACACACAGAGAAGTTCATCTGTAGTCCCATTTAAATAAATTTTTGCATAGTCATGAGGTAGGCTTCTCTGTTCTGTGTGTGTGAAAAGGTTCTAAAGAGCATGGATACTGCGTTCTTGCATTGAGGGTTTACACTGGTATTTGTGCTCAGTTTCTGGAAGGAATACATAAGAAATTCTTTGTGGTGGGTATGACTGGCAGTAGACAAGGCAAGGAGATCTTTATTCTTTCCATAACTTTCTAAACTATCTGAATTTTTTAAAAAATTATTTTTATTTTATGTATATGCGTGTATTGCCTGCATGTAGATAAGTGCACCCGTGTAGTGCAATGCCCACGGAGGTCAGAAGAGAGCTTCAGATTCCCCTGGAACTGGAGTTAAGGACGATTCATAACTGCCATGTGGT